GAGTCTCTCATGGAATCAATTCCCCTCCGACATGGTAATGACGTAACACCTGATTCCAACCATCATTATCATCATACTACCTGTTTGAAACATATCTGTACGTCATGCTTTGCTTGAGTCGGCAACCTTACGAAATGAGGTCTTGCATGTTCAGCATTTCTGGTATGGCGACTTTGGTTCCCATCTTATATAGAAATCACGAGTAAAAAGCAGTAGCAACTTTTTTACATGTTTCAGACACAGTACACCTGTGGGCACACGCAGACGAATAAAATGTATTTTTACTTATAAAAGGTTCCCTTAACAACTCCGCAGGTGACTCAAACTGCATATGGTCAGATGGTTGATTTGTGAAAAATAAATCGGAAATAGATGTGGAAGGAAGAGGTCGTGGCCAATTTCAAGATACTAACTCGGCATTAGTCTACAGGATCTTGACGGAAACCACAACAAGCCTCGAGATAGTAGTTGGTATCCCGGTAGAAATTCGAACTGGGTTCCTCCCGAATACAAGTCACGTTACTACTACCCCGTTCTTTCTCAGTAAAAATGTATTATTGTTAAATGGCAGTAAATGCAGAATGAAGTCGTTACGAAGCCTGGGCCTATGCTACATTTCTAGGATTTAGGATTAACCTTCAGCTACGAATATCAATTGCTCTGTGCCTGTGTACAGACGGTCTGTTCTAGGGTGCTTCTGTTTTGCGCATTGCAGGGATAAGATACTGCCAGACATAGCTGTAGGAGAAAGTTAGCTTATATAAAGCGGCCTCCGTAGTCTAGAGGTAACGTTCCCACCTCATGACTCGTAGTACGCGGGTTCAAATACCCGGCGGAGGTCGTCGAATTTTTAAGGGCGGAAAAATTCAGGGAACAAGTCCTCCGGGAGGGACTTTAAGCTGTGTGTCACGTGTCGTAACTTTACGGCACGTAAAAGAACCTCATATCCCCAAAGGGGATCACTGAGCCAAATTCCAGGACGTTTCCCGCCCAACAATAGTCTCTAAGGCCTCTGATAGAGGGGGGAAGCATTATAGACACCGCTAAGCAAGTGGCCGAACTCGCTTGCTCGGCGGGACTGATGGTACGCACCATTTATCGGTAGGGTAGAATATCATAGAGGGAAGCACAATAGATCAAACTGGTCGCGGTGCATGGGGAAACCCACCCTCTCTAACTAACTAACTAACTAACTAACTAACTAACTAACTAACTAACTTGTATAAGAAGTGCATCGAAGGTGCTATTCATGAGGTACTGTGAGGAATTTTACTTTGTGTACCGGCTCCACGGTTCTGCGCTTCACGGCGGCCGGTGCGCCGCTTGCTGCAAGACACATACGAATTTTGCATATGAATCTGCATGCCTTACAGCCAATAACGTTTGTAATGAAGGGAAGTTCTTAGCTTTGGGTATTTATGTATCCCTGCAAGTGAAACCACGCTTCATCAGAAAAGAATGTCAATTGATGATCGATCTTACCTTCGACGACAGACTGTAGAAACCAATTGTAAAAGTGAACCCTGTTATCTGGATCGCGCGGCTGCAAGACGTGCGTGGATTACTGTTGTTCTATAGGATCAAAGCTTCAGCAATTGTGTTGCCGTTCTTACATTAGACATTGGCATTCCAGTCTCTTGAGCTAGACGTTTCAGTGAATTTTTAGGTGTATGTTCCAGTCTGGCCCCTATGTGGTCTAACTTCTCAGTAAGCACTTGGCGTTTATGTTTTTGCGTCTATTAAAGAGTCTCGCTGTTCTAAGCATAATGAAATATGCAAAGAAATAAGAAGTGATCATTAACAGCATTGGGATCGAACTGTAAGCACCCAAATAAATACGAAGCGAACCTGGAAACAGGCATTATTACATTATCACAATGCAAAGTTTTTATCAGTCTGCTTTTAATTCATTTCTTATCAACGCATCCGGACTCCATCAGTGATAGGCCTCAGGCTGGTGTCAGTGAACTAAGTACTTAACCACGGGCAGATGCTTTACTTTCTGCTACAGCCCGTTTATTCAGTGTTTGCTGCTGGCTGCGCGCAAACTTGGTCCATCACTCGTACTGACATTTACGGGAGGGAGAGGTTTGCAGATTGGTGCATGGGGCATGGACACTAAAAAGCAGGATATGCCAGTTATGGCATATCTACGTGCCAAAATCATGCACAAAGAAACAAGAGAGGCAGTAAAGTTATTCCAGTGCATCATTAAACACCTAACCATGGGTACGTATGATGCAAGTAGTAAGCAGAGATCTGCTTGCTGCCTGTTTCATGCTGCTTCTTGCTTGGCTTATTCTTTGATCCTGAAGATGGAGGCGACATGTTCCTCTGAAACATCTGTTGATTTTCAACGGATTGCACGACGGCATATTCAGGAAGACAGAACCCATTCCCTGTGAATTTTGTGTAATAAGTGCACACTGTTGCAGGCGTAGCCAAATCACGGTTCGCGTGCCGCAGCACGCTCTCTTAAACCGTTAGTACTGCTCACGGAAATAATGAAATATTAAGTCAAGCTCTTCTTAGTTTCTCACATAGGTAGTGCGTATAAGCGATATAATAATAATAATAATAATAATAATAATAATAATAATAATAATAATAATAAAGTAGTCGTGAACAAAAAAAAAGTGAGATTTTTGTTCGATTTACAGGTTTTGGGGCCTCCTAAATACGAACGAGCGGTTTTTGGAATGCTGTCTGCCTGCATGTCTGTCTCTCTGAGACGTATGGACGTGTGCCTTGGTTAGATGAACTTTGTTCATATTCGGCATTTAAGCGTTTATCCATTACAGCTCGGTGCCCGGTAAATATGAACATTCCGGCTCCATCGGCCCCAAAGAAATAAAATCGAAAAAATTTAAATTTAATGTCGATTTTGTCGAAACCGGCTCCACAAGACGGACGAATTTCACTGCTGTTCGGAATTCAGTGACCACACCACGAGTTCTCTGTACAAGAAAAAAAAATCCTTGCAATCAGGATGCGTTTTTACATTTTTCTAACTGTTCCGGGTTCTGTGACACTGAGAATGATCAATGTTCATTTTTCTGCAAATAAAACACAAATTCTAGGACAAATCTGGTTATCTCCGTTGCGTCGGTGAGTGTAAAATATGAGCATATTCACCGAATCATAAAACGGCAATTTAATCTCTTGCTTTTGTACGTTGTTTCCTGTTTTGCGGCAGCTTTATTAATTATGGCATGAAATTTGTGGGTTTTCTCGGCGTGCCTTCTGCTACGTATTTTTATGGGGGTATTTTTGGACGCTGTCAGTGTCTAGACTATATTGCGTTGGACGGCAGCATGATTGGCGACTGATGAATAAGAGAGGACGTGGAAAGAAGCGGTAATGGCCCAATGGACGTAATATCCTCGCATTTGCCTGGAGGGAACGAAGAAAACCACTGAAGACTTCAATCAGGACATCCAGTGTCGCGTCCGAGATTCGAACACAGCACCTCCCGCATACAAGTGTTACCGCTAGATCATGCTGTTCTACGTGGAATGTTAAGTCCGTAGTTTGGGTGAATACTGTAATCTTCACGTTGACTTACAGAATGGATTTTGTGATTCTGATAGTTCCATCTACTGATACGAAAATGGGCAAATTAGGGTCAGAATGACAGGGCACTTAGCTCGAGTTGATGAAGAGGCAAAGGGAACAGAAATTTTGTCGGAAACTTCCTGGAAAACTACAGCTCCAAAGATGGGAACATGAGAATAATACTAAAACGGATTTCTGGGAAATATGTACGTTCTGAACCAGGCCCATCAATTTCATTCCATCGCGACATATTCTCTTAAATCAACCTGAAAACTATGCCTATACTCGCACTTCCTACTATATCACCGAAATGGCCACCTTCCATTCAGATTTCTCTACCAACACTGTGTTTATTTCCTGTCTCTTTCGTCAGAGCTACCAATCTCATGAGCGCCCTAATAACAGCAAAGCACTTCGTTTATCTTTATTACATCAATTCTCCAACCCCGAGTTTAAATCTGGTTTTGGAGAACGGCAACCTTAAATGAGAATCTTTGTGGGTTTTCTCAGTCCCTCCAATCGAAACCTGGCAAGTATCGTGTCACAAAGAGTAACACATTTCTCCCGCATCTTCCAGTTCGTAATGCAATGATGACGCTCTACGACTCGTATTAGAGCGGTGCCCTATTCGAATGTCGGCTGAGACACCGCCTACTTGACTTGAGGTTCTTCGTGCTTTTCCTCAGTCCGTCCAGGCAAATGGAGTGATAATACCTCGACTAGGCAACGACTTTCCTTCCAAATGCTTTCAAATTCACCAATCACACTACCATTCGACGCTAGTTTAGATACTGCGACGCAGTAAAATAAACCACAAAAAAGCAATATAACTTCAGCTGTACTGAACACAAGACAAACATCTGTTTCTTCATACTGTCTAATAAGCTTGCTACACAGGTGGGGCGATTTTGCGTACACAACATTGGCGATTTTTCCGCATACTGCGATGATGGAATTTGGGTCGGGGGGAGAATCGACTATCACCCCCGCTGTATCGGGGTCGATAACTCCAGCCACATGGCTAGACTGAGTGTTAGGATGCCGGATAGTTTGGTTAACTGTCCAATATTACCTCAGCCTCTTTCGTAATCACAGTGTGTCTTCTGTGACGTAATTTCACCAACATTTCACTAAAATATGGCAACAAATAAACACGAAATTACTTACAATATGTTCATGTATTTCACACCACTTCCTAAATTTTTCAACAAAAACAAACCAAACACAACCCGGCATTTGAAATTTAATGGCTTAATTGATAACTAATTAAATAATACGCGTTCACGTATGCACACAGTAACAGCACTTCTCCTACCGCCTACACATTACAAGTAGATAATTTGCGTACTCGTTTGTATGAATATGTTACGTTTTTAAGTCACATACGATTTATTAAAGAACCGTTACTAAAATATTAACAGGAGGACGAATTATCTTTAACTTACCTGTTTTATTATTCCTGAAAGTTCTTTTGACATGAAACTTTCTCTCGAAATTTGGTGACGAATTGATCTCCATTTTTAACACAGCTACCACTTCAATAACGCTTGTAACGCTACTACCAACGTTCTACTTACACGACAACACCAAAAAACACTCTGCCGGTTTCCACGGCCTGCTATAGTACAACATCCCGCCCTCATAGCTGCCACGTCTAGAAACCTGATTGGCTACTCTCGAACCCCGCCTGTTGCCTTGGATACATGCAGTGCTTATACGTCACATGTCCTGCCGCGTACAAGTGTTTTTTCTCTCTCTCGTTATATATATATCTATATATATACTATATGGGTGTGCTTTTAGTACGTGCATCTCAGATGGAGTGTTTATTTTTAAAGTCATATAGAAATGTAACTTTAAAATATAATGTGTCAATATTGATCCACCCACTTGGACTTGATCAGTGTTTGCTTCGAAGGTACGACATTTCAAAACGTGATTGCAATATGTCTCGAATACAATCACTGAAATGCTTCAGTTCTGTGAACAGCAATTGTTACCTTCGTATACGTAACGATCTAACAATGCAGGGATTACCAGTCTTCTCGTACTATATCGATGCTCAATACTGAACCTCACTGACATCAAAGCGTCGGCTTTCGTTTATTGTTCCTAGTCTTCGAAGCGGGACGGTTAAAAAAAAAATAAATAAATAAATAAAAAAAAATGCTGATTTACATATTTTCGAGTTTGCATATTACTTTATTGGGCTCAGTTACACATAGTCTTAGGAAAATAAAATTTATATCGATCTTGCACTCGATACTTCGAGATCCTGTAACCGAATTTCATTCTTGATTGTACAGGCTACATAAATTATTTTCATGGTAGGCCAATCTGACATTATATTATTACCATGAAGGAACTGCCTTGTAGTCTGTTGATAATAATTGATACGATATGGACCCCGGAATCAAAACCTAATGGTAAAACAAAAACGAGTAATCTCCTTGTCGATTTGTTTACTTCCGGTTTCGTTCCACGCCTCAATACATTAATCAACGAAATCTCTCCGTGACTCAGGATGTTTACTATGCAGGTCAATGCAGTTTTTGAAGAGGAAGGTCGTCTGGATTTTAACACCGCTTACTTCGGAGAAAGCCCGACGTTTCGGAGGAACACGCCAGCTCCATCTTCAATAATGAAGAATAAGCAAAGCGAGAAAACAGCAGAACGTGACGGCAAGCGAGAGCGCTCAGCTTACCGCCTTCACCTTCTGGTTTCTTGCTTGACTAAACTCTTCAACCCTGAAGATGAAGGCAGTGCGTTCCTCCGTATGGTCGGTGAACTGCTACTGGACTACACACTGTTCCATTCCAGAAGGTATATTAATTCAGTTCCTAGCGGAGAAATGAAGGAACTGTCAGCAACTAGAATACATATAGCCGAATGGCAGGATAACTGATGAATTGGAAAGGATTTGGAAGGAAGCGGTCGTGTTCCAGTCTAGGTACAACCCCGAAATCTGCCTGGAAGGAATTATGAAAAGCAAACATAGCCTAGATACGGATTCCTGATATCCCGGCAGAATTTCGAACCGAGCACCTCCGAAACAGGATACTAGACCGTTACGGCTACAACAGCCCAGTCGGTCTTATGGCCTGCTAATTTACCCTTTAACGGAGAAATAAGGGCGCGAGTTAAAGGTATAGGACTAATAAAGGGAACAAAGAGGAGGGGGTTGAAAGATGAAGATGTGGAAGTCATGATTCTTAGGTAAATTTCAATGGGCATTCCTACCAGTTTATGAATAGTATTGAGTGAAATTTCTACTGCAGTTGCTAACTTGCTTTCACTTTTCTCGTTGCCCTCTCATTTCTACTCTCGGGCGTCTTGCTGCCTACGTCACGGTGATGCGACAGGGGACCGCAACACATATGCTGCTGTCCCCTTCTCCTCAGCAACCCTCAATGGGGGGGAAGAGACCCCAGTTGGTGCATCTAAAAAAGGAACTAACTCAGTATTCCAGTGAATTACTTTCCATACAGCAGAATCCTTCTTGAGAAACTAACAGTCGCTCATCTGTTGAGTAATTCTCCTAATTTTATGAAGCCCGAAAGTTCATTACCGTGTTCACAAGAGCTCGCTCAAGCCCGAGTACTTATGTAAGATACTCTTATTGGTATCTTAGGGTTGTTATTCCCCACACAAACAAAAAGCTGGAAGTTAACCGTTTGTCATCTGTCCATGACTATACAATATATTCGCAGCTACACTCCATATTCATAGCGCAGTCGGTACAGCGACTGGCTACGGGCAGGAGGACCGAGGGTTCGGAGTTCGAGTCCCGGTAGGGTCAAGAATTTTCTCCTCTTCATATCGTCCAGACTGACTCCTATCCAATGGGTACCGGGGGTAAAGCGGCCGGGGCGTGAAGCTGAACACTCACCGCCAACTAGTTCGGAGGTCAAGAAAATGTGGATCTATACATCCACTCCCCTAACCGCCTTCATGGCGTAGTGCTTAGTTATATAACTACAGGGACAAATTTGCCTTACACTCCATATCCAGAAGCAACATTTATACAAAATTTTTGTAATCACTTGTTGCTTCTCCATATGAGCTACATGTTCAGCCCATCGTAATCCACCTGTTTCACTACTCTAATGGCAATGAAGGAGGAAGTTCCTGGTTATGATCCCTAAATACCCATCCACGTCTTTCTTCTTGGGTCCAAATGCTTTCCTCGACATTCTGATTCATTATTTTGTACTGATCTGTAGTTTATTTAACGACGCAGTCAGTAGTTTGGTCAACTTAGCGGATAGAGGGTGTCGGGTGGTCAGCGCAACGAATCTCCACGGCCGTTAATTTCGGTTTTCTAGACCGCAGCCGCTACTTTTTCATTCAAGTAGCTCCTCACGAAACTGAGTGGACCCCGTTCCAGACCCACTACTTCTCAGAAAATATGGTAGCACCGGGAATCGAACCCGGGACCTCTGGATCTGTAGTCAGGAACTCTGACCACAAAGAACATGGAGGCGCACTAACTTCACCCGCCCGATCGGTATAATTCGCTTGCGGAGTAAACCCACGTAATTGTTTGTCGGTAGCTTGGACTATACAAGCGTCGAATGACTGTCTTTTTTTATTATTATTATTTTTGCCAATTTACAATCTACTTAACCGTAAAGGAAGTAACAAGTAAATGTGATATATCTTCTCATGTCTTGAAGGCGGTAACTGCCCAGCGGCAGTTCTCATCCATTTAATTTCTTAAGTCTTCTGGCCACTTTTTCGTCAGTCTTCTTGCATTAGCGTGTGGGTTCGATAGCTCATCGATTAGCTGGTTCTCATGGCCTGTAATCCGGTTTTGGTATTTGTTAGCTTGTTTTTTGATCTCATTCGTTATGAAGGGCATGTTGAGGTCTTCGTGGATGGTTTAATTTGAGACGTACCTTGGTACTCCTGTTATACATCGTAAGGTTTTCGATTGAAACGTTTGTAGTATTTTGGTATTGGATGGTTTATCGCACCCCCACAGCTCAATGCCNTAATTTGGCTCAGTGACCTCCTTTGGAGATATGAGGTTCTTTTACGTGCCGTAAAGCTACGACACGGGACCCACGGCTTAAAGTCCCTCCCGGAGGACTTGTTCCCTGAATTTTTCCGCCCTTAAAAATTCGACGACCTCCGCCGGGTATTTGAACCCGCGTCCTACGAGTCATGAGGTGGGAACGTTACCTCTAGACTACGGAGGTTGCCACCTTAGTTTGTGATCTAAGTGAAGTCCTAGATATTTTACTTTGGATTTGGTTGGTATAATAGAATTGTTGATTGTTACTTGCGGGCAGCTAATTCGTCGAGTGGTGAAAGTAATTTGTGCTAATTTGTCATTATTAGTCTTTATGCGACATTTTTGGACCCACCGCTGTAGAATATTTATGTGTCTCTGTAAGTCTACAGAGGCTATCAGAGGATCTTGATTTGCTGAGGGCATTGCTGTATCAACTGCAAAAGTGGCCAAAACAGTGTTGTCTGTAGTTGGTAGGTCAGCGGTGTAGAGCAAATAGAGGAACGGGCCTAAGACGCTTCCCTGCGGCACTCCGGATTTGATGTTATGGACGTTGGATACATCATGATTTATTCTAATTTGGAAGTGTCTTTCCGTTAAGCAGGAATATTTCACTCTGTAATCTTTTCTTGAGTTTGTAAAGAAGGCCTTTGTGCCAGACCTTGTCGAATGCTTGTAGTATATCTAAAAATGCTGCAGTACAAATCTTAATGACTGTCTGACAGTAAATAATGAACTGGATGTGATATCAAAGGAAGATGTCGTGGCCAAATTTATTCCATTATTTTCATGGTAGGTCTGACGAACACCCTTAGGCTGGATTGTTAGTATCCTGGCTGGGACTCGAACTGCGCATCTGCCGGAAACAAATGGGAAGCCTTACCGCTTGAGTCAACTTAAGTCACTTTGTGTCCAACAGCCGTGCTGAAGGTTATCACAGGGGTAAATATGAAGGGTACTGTATTTTGTGATGTGAGGCTATACAGTCCTGTAGAAGCTCACCGATGTTTAGGAGGAACTTATTACCTCTAAAAAATAAACTAAACTCCGTGCTTTGAATTCGCAAGCGAACTATACCGACGGAGCGACAGCCGTTTGTCGGTGAAGTTAGTGCCAACTGTAGTGGACAGAGGGTGTCGCGGGGTCAGCGCAACGGTTTTCTAGACCTGAACCGCTGTTTCCTTGAAAGAGCTCCTCAATTATCCTCACGAGGCTGAGTGGACCCCGTTCCAGATCCACTATTTCTCAGAAAATCTGGTAGCGCCGGGAATTGAAACAGGGACCTCTGGATTTGTAGAAAGGAACTCTGACCACTAGACCATAGAGGCGGTCACGTATTACCTCTATCTTTATTATTTCTTGCTCGTTGCTTCGCTCACCCTTCGGCCCAGAAGATGTAGATGATAATTTACCCGAAACGTCAATGAGACTTCTATCAGACTACTTTACACTGCGTCACCTCCTAGGCTATAGTACTCTTCAGCGGCGTGTAACATTTGCAACACAACGCCATACATCTCTGTTATCAGCCGTTATCATTCTCAGAATGCACCCGAGTTTTCTCTACTGTAACGACGCAATTTGTTATCGTTTTTCGTGGGAA